CACCTTGATCTTGGACTTCCCAGCCTCCAGAACTGTGAAAAAATAAAATTCTCTTCTTTATAAATTACTGATTCTCAGGCCTTTTATGATAGCAGCATGAAGTGGACTAAGACACCATTGTATTTGTTCTCAGATATGTAAAACTCCTGATCTGAAATAGTGTAATGACTAATATTTCAAGATGAAACACATAAAAGTATTTGAAGCATTGCCAGGGATCAGTAATAGTCTACTTTTAGGTTCTTACAGTCATAAATATGAGGAAAAATATATTTTAAGTACAACTCGAGTAGGTTTATTTTTACAGTGATCAAGAAGAGTTAAATGTTCTAATCCTTTCCTCAGTACATTTTGTGGAATGAGTTTATTCATTGAAGTGAAGAATTTGTGAACAAATAATTACATAAATTGTGATACACACAGATTATGAGGGAACAAAGACATGCAATATCCTATGAACTTCTGATGGTGTTGTCAAATGAGATACCTGTTTGAAGAGGAAACACTGCCACTGAAATCCAAAGGAATAGGACTAAGAGAGTTTCAAACAGAGGCAAGAGCATGTACACAGGAGGCAGGAAATATATGGAATGTTTGAGGGAAAAGAAGCCAATGCACTTGATAGGGAATGGGTCAAAAGATCAGAGTTTTGAGATGTAGTAGAGGGAAGTGAGGGCCAGATCAGGTAGCAGGTTGACATGACAGTATGGTCAGTATATTCACTGTGTGCCCACTAAAATGAACAAGTAAAAAAACCTTATAATATAATGGGGGACATTGTTTTTCTTTTTTACATTTTTATTGCCATTACCTTTTTTTTCTGTCATCAGGGGCCTGCATCTGCCTCGTGCAGGGGTAGAGAGTGGAAATGATGTTAGCAAAGAAAGATAAGAAATTTAGCTTTGAGGGCTGGGGTTTTGGCTCCATGGTAGAGTGAGGAAACTGATATCAGATAGGGAATTGCAGAGAAAATTGATGCTAGAGCTGGCGTTTGAATATATGTTCTTTAATATGAGTCCAGGGTTCTTGATAATAGATCTTCTGTTGAGATCTTGGTAGAAAATATTCTGTAATTAACCTATTTCATTCACCTGGATATCAGAAGGCCCAGTTTCTAGAGATGGTTCTTATGAGCACTGAGAACGTAATGGGCAATTCTATGGTAGTTGAGTAGAGTAGGGGTTTAGGATAATAGACACTCCCTAGAGTGATTAGTTGATTCTCCTCTTTCTCCATGAAATTTGAAACATGGCCCAGAAAGGGCACAAGCAACTTCAGGAGCAGAGTGCCTGCTTACATGACAATATATGTAGTAGGAATATCTAGTTCATCGCTCTACCACGCACAGGTTAACTTCTTAATCAGTTGTGAAAGCTGTAGCAAGAAGTTCATTATAAAAAATGAATAAAATGCTGAAAGCTCTGAATGACTTACCTGGGAAGGATAAATCAGGTTTAAGTTCTCTCTGAAAGGGTGCCACTCTCACTTACTTGCTGCTATAACTTTTTGCCACTGGGGGAAGGCAGAGCTGAGTTGAGTATGCCAGGAATGATTCATGCACTGCCACTCACCTTATGTTTCAGTTGACCAAGTAATGTTTTCCTTTCCTGATACAATATTTATAGTCCAGGCAAATGAGAATTATGGTATTGCCTGAATTTAATGTACATGTATATTAATTACATTGAGGTCTAGGTGCTTTTCTGAGGCAGTATCAAATGTACAGTATCACATGTACACTTATTTCATCCTTCATATGTGATATGTCAAAAAAAAATTGGAATGACTGAAATGAAGTTCAATGTACATGATATTCTAATCATACTGAAGGCTAGCTTTAACCATGGTGCAAGATGAGAGGCAAAAGGGAAAGAAGCAGATTTTTTTTCAAAAATGAAAATGATAATATTTATGTATATATTGATAAAACCTAAAATACCATCTAATCCTTTCTTTCTTGCATTTCCTTTACCCTATCCCACTTAATTTAAAATGCCTTTAAATGTGTAACTCGTGACATTGTGTTAAACTATGTTGAAAACAAGAAAAACACACTCTTGGTCTCAGATTTGGCTAAACTTCTATGGTTAAAGAGACAACTTGCTGATATATTAATTTCCTGTCACTTGGGTGCATAATATCAACCCATCTTTCTGCCATTGCATGCTTTGTTACTTGAGTATTACAGAGCCAGAGAACAAGCAGTAATGATTAAGAAAAAGAAAAAACTCACCTGTTTACCATGATCATTGAGAGACACTTGTAGTATACTTTTGGTTTGGAAGTCATATGAATTGATCCATCTATTTTATCACACAAAATGTGGTAGTTAAGATGGGTATATTGGTTTCAGCTGAGTGTTTAAATATTTGCTGAATTGATTATTATGACTATATTTAACAGTGCTGAGGGGATTTGGAATGTATGGGAGTGTGCTATATGTGTTTGAGGTATAAGTGTGTGTGTGTGTGTGTGTGTGAGTGTGAATATGTGTGTGTGTGTGTGTGTGTGTGTGTGTGTGTGAGAGAGAGAGAGAGAGAGAGAGAGAGAGAGAGAGGGAGGAGAGAGAGGTGTTAAGACAGTAGCACTGCATTTGTTTTACCATATCAGGAAAAATATAAACACTATTTCTGATGTCTGCCTCCAGAAAAACAAAACTTCTCATAATAAATTCCACTTAGTCCACTTTATAACAGAGTTAGCCTGATTATTTATGCCATAAATTTTAGCATTTTGCTCAGCACAGTTGTGTTAGTATAGGAAATTATTTTTGTAACTTAAGCAATAATAGTGAGATCTTTTCATCTTATTGAATATCATGTGAAAAACTGACTAAGTCAGCAAAGGAAACTTTCCTTCCCAATATCCAATTTAAGTACTCTTTGAGAAAAAGCTAATAAAAATATTTTTAAATAGATATTTTTTTCTTTGTGCTAAATGGATATTTGTAGGTATTTTTTAAAATTTTTTTTTGGCATTGAGATTGGGGTTTAAATACGGCTTATTGCATATGTAACTTTAACTTATCACTCTTAATCACTTAAGAGAAAAAATATATAGCCATCATAAGGAAGATCTTATGGATTTCCTATGATTAATTTATCAACTTTCAGGTTCTTCAGTTGATAATCAAGTCTTTTAGCTTCATGTTAGCATACTTGGCTTGCTCTTCAAATTGCACCTTGGCTAGTTGTTTATAGGTATTTGTTTTGAGTTTCTTCTATCATATTTATGAAAAAAACATCTTACATTTTAAAATTTAAAAGTAGACAAAATTAATTTTTGGAGTTTTTGAGATAATTCGCTTCCATTGTTCCTTAGGAGGAATTTTTATGTTAAAATAATAGTAAGATAGGTAAACCATGACCAACGAAATTAAATTCTATTCACAAATGCAAAAAACTTTCAAGAAAACTGCACAATGTTTTACTTGTGCACCTTCCTACATAACAAAGAAAGCCACAGCAGGTTTGAATGTAGGTGGTCTCCATAATTAACTGCTGCAAAGAACATATGTGATAATGGTGGAAACACTGATTTAGATGTCACTATATAAATAAATATCTATATGAATGCATGTAATATAAAATTAATTTATTTATAAGTCTACAGGTTATGTGTATAGATTTTGCAGTATCAGACATCAGAACTTCCATGTTAACTTATTTACAAGAAGCAAACTAATGATATTTGTAAATAAAACGGTAGTACCATAACAGATAGAAAAGAATCATATAATTTAATTAATATGACAACTTCATTTTATGAACAAGTCAACCAGGACTCAGATAGGTCAAGAATTTTGCCAGTGATCCAGCATGTTCATGATAGAACTAGAACTAGAACCCATTCATTTTGTTATTAGTGCTCTCAGACTGACTATATTTCCTATTCTGAATTAGAACTTCTTGATAAAGACAATGATTTGTTATTCTCCCCTCCTTACTTGTGTCTCCTCTGGGAAAAAAATCAAAAGGTATTCTTGCTCCTCCAGAAGTATTTGGATAGTGCAAAGGACTACAGGTCCTGTCCTTCTTTGTGACACTTGATTCTTGTTTTCGTGGATCATTCAGCTAAAGGCATGTGTGTGGCTCATTTTCCTCCTTCATTAAATGTATATTTTTAAAATATTTTAACCGTGCTTTGAGATCATTGTTTTATCACATACCAAACCTCTGGCCTGGAACCTTATGACATTATTGACTGAGCAGGAACTTTGTTAGCCATCAGGAAAGTCTCCAAAACAGGATTTGTTGAAAAATGAGAATTCACATTATCTGGAACTAGAATAAGAGTTCCTGCAGTGCAAGACTAAGTTTTCTAAATAAAACAGTTTTTAATGTCATTTATTTTCAGCTGTTCACATACTATCTTTTATACCTTCTTGTCTTTCCTTTTATTTTTATAAATTCAAATTCCATCATAAAATAAAACCTTGGACTCCCAGGCTGTTTGGGGGATTTGTGTGTGTGTGTGTGTGTGTGTGTGTGTGTGTGTGTGTATGCACCCATGTGTTTTCATTTCTTTTTCTGCAGTGCTTCCTCTTACTTGGAAAGCCTCTTTTGTGTATGGACATCTAGGTACAATGTCACCAACAGAATTGAGCAAGTTTTGTTTTTCTAACTTCTGTACCTCTGGCAAGCCTCACATGGGCTTCTATCAGTGTAATGGCATCTTCAACTTGAGCCAAGTGCAGGTTATTAGGTTACAAGTGCCAAAAATGATGAGCCGTCTCCACACTTCATCCAGCATGAATAAAAGCAAGATTGTAAAATAATTATAATCTCTTGAAGCAGAGCCAGCCCTGCAACCCGAGCCCATCTTTCTTCATTAATTTGTATACAGTTCTTATTTTAACAGGACAAACTTTTTTTTTCCAGAGGGTACTCACATGGGACTGCTGAACCAGCTGTACAACTTTTATTTTGAAGAAAAAAAGTTGAGCCTCAGAACAGGCTGTTTTAAAGACAGGGAGGGACTTATCCTTTCCGAGCTTGACCAGCATGTGGAAGGAGCGCTCTCATGGCTGCTGCAATAACTTAGGGAGCTCCTACCTGGGTGACACTTGGGGTAGGCAGTTTTCTGTTTGTTTTGTTCTGTTTCCGAGGGCCCGTATGCTCCTCTGGCCCATATCAACGTGACTCTTGGTGGTTTTTGCACACCCTGCTCTGTGGGGGAGTGCCCCAACGTGCCTGTCTTATGTGGCCTCTATGGACACACTGCTCAGCTGGCAGAGAGCAGGGAAGTTTTCTCCCAGCACCCAAAAAGAGAAAGAGGAAACCACTTTTTCCTTCTGGCCTCCTTGCAGCACGATAGATCAGGATAAGCTTCCACATTCCCTCCCTGGATTTTCTGGAGTTGCTTCCAGGAAGAAGTTCAACTTTCACCTTTAAATGGATGACCACGTCACAATCAGGAAGAAACATCTCCAAAGACCCATCTTTAGGTGAGTAATGTTAGTCCCAGGTGGCTCAAGGGCTCTCAGGAACAATCCTTCCTCTCCTTCATCCTTAACGTGGGGATTTGCACAGTAAGATACAGCCAAACAATGAAGAATGCCTGAAGTTAACTTTGTGCATGCTGAAGGAGTCCTTTTATTTTCTATTTTCTGAAACTCTGTACTCAAGCTCTTATCAACTCCTCAAAATATATTTAAAAAAAAATCTTAACTATTCAAGCACATGAGTGACACTGCACTGGAAAAAAACTTTTGAAACATTATGCAATCCCTCACTGTTTCTGAGGGCTGTGGCACAGCCCTCCGAATAGGAAATATTATGCTTGGTTCTTTCAACTGATTACACTCAAGGGCAGTATTTTAGTGCTGCAAATGCTAGATCTTTCTGAAGTAATGTGTTGGGAGGTAAATTTGAACTTGAGAGCTACTGTTCTAGAGTTCCCATTTTATAGCTCATTCAGGAATATCAGACCAACAGTTCAGGAAATAATGGAGCAATAGGAAAAATTGTACACTGTGGGAAAAATCTGTGGCCAGGCAAAATGTGGGTAAAGATTAAAGTATTGAGCTAAGGTTTTATTTGGGAGGAAAGGACACTCTCTGTGGGAGAAGAAACTTCTCCATTGATTCTTTAACTCCTGATTCCTTAGCTTATGTACTTTTAGTAATTTTAAAGTAGCTAGAAAATGAACACAACAATTGCTTCCTCATAAAACAGATTTTTTTTAAAAAAAGAAAGAATTATATATCAGTTTTAGGTTTTTCCCAAGGCAATATTCTAAACATGTAGAGATACTAAACATTATCAATAGAAAGTGTTAAAGTCAAGTTGCAACCACTGGCTGTTGATCTAGAATTAAATACAGAATAATAAAGTATATGGATGGAATTCCTGGCATTCTGTGGTTGTTACATAATGAATAATAGTGGACTTTAAAGACTATAATTATGTTAAGTGTGACTATTTTTTGTGTATTAAAGATTTCTACAATATTACTAATAAAAACAACATACTTTCATAATGCTTAAGACATAGGGCTAGTGCAAATTTGTTTTAAATACTTCTTTGACCCTAAATTATACTTAAGTTAATACATATGCTTTTTATGATTTTATTTATTCAGTACTGAGGATTTAAACCAGGGCATCATGCTAAATTCATACAGTGGATTTAATATCACAATCTGTACCTACTTAAATATGTATTTGCAAATACTATGGAGCAACTGCAGTAAATAATAATAATAATAATAAATCCAGAATGGCTTCCCAAATGTGAATTCACCTGCAAAATTTCCTCAAAACTTCTCCTTATCCTAAGTAATTAATCTCTACTTTTTCCCAAGTGCACATGTGATTTCAAAAAGGCAGGATATTTGCACTGATGATTCCAAATTCAACTCCAATAAGATACCACTCAAACAGACCACCCATTGTAGTTTGGGAAGGCAAGGTACTGGAAAAAAAAAAAAAAAGGTCACCTAGCCATTATTGCTGATGTATTATCCCACTGGGGAGTACTTGGGATTGAGACAGGTGGTCTCCATGCCAAATCCACACTCAGTCCTGATGAATTGTATACTTAGGTGCTACTTGCAGGTGTATTGCAATCTAACTACACTATATGTGGTGGTTGACTTTGATAGAAAGAACAGATCCTTTGTGAAAATTGATATTCTTTGCCCAGATAACTAGAATGAAATTTAGTGGATTAAAATGATGGCTTCTCGATACTGTTAATCTAAAAGAGAAAAGGTAGCTACCAGAAAGGTTATATCAGAAAATTGTTTTAAAACAAAACTAATGAAAGAAGGTCAAGGCTAGATGTGGGAATTGGGAATTTATTGATCAGCTGGCACCTTGACAATTGGCATTGCTTTGATTAGGGTTTGATGGGGATGAGGGAAAGAGAATTGGATTCAAATAATTAGGCACCATTCCTCAGAGAGAATTTTGGCTGATACTCAGTAAAATACAGCCTTGACATCCTGAGAGCTAGTTGTACTCTTTGGCAAGCTGGTAAGTGGATTAGGCTTGCCTTTGGCACATTTGCTTTCATTGCATGCCACTTTCATTTTCTTTATTGGCTTTCTTGGACAGGTATCTTGTCCCCTTGTCTATCCTGAACTGCCTAGTGACTCACATTGAGACATCTTTCTCAGGCTTGACTTTTCTGGTCAGAGATCCATTTACCAGACCTTTCCTTCTTATTATGTCCTTGTCTGTGCTGTACTTCCTAAGGGACTTGCACATGGGTTATCATATCCACTTGATTAGCAAATGTTTCACTTGTGCTAGAGAAACCAGTTACAAAATTTAAAAAAAATTCAAAAAACAAAACAAAACAAAAACAAGAACCACAACTTGGTTTCTTATACACAATTCATTTAAATGTCAATTATTGATACAGATCAGCTCAGGGATTTTTGTTTGGAAATATCTGAATTTTGACACCATTCCAAATTTCTCTATATAAGCTGCTTTTTCCCCCCTGTAATTAAACACTTGCATTTAATTCAACTCATTTGGTATTCTTTGAGGGACTTTGAGCTCCCTAGACATATCATCTAGTACTTATGATGGTACAGTCAGATGATGTGCCACAAAAGAGACAATAGTGTCCTGGGAAAGCAGATCTGAAGAATAATTAATTTGCATATCTAAATTACCTGAGAGAGAAGAGATCAAGAGGTTTACTTATTTCTTTAAAAAGTAATTAAAAATCAACCAATAGCATAATTTCCCTAAATTTCACAAAGTAGAACTCATCCCTCAAGTGGAAAAAGTAAGGTGAGAGTTTTGGAGTAGATGGTGTTCATTTAAATTCCATGGCTGAATGAGATACCAAGAAGTCTGGGAGGAATCTGACATTATTCAGATACAGTATCTAAGAATGTCTAGGCCTCCTACAGTAAAGATTCCCAGATCATCTCACATAGTTAGTTACCGATCTATTTTTAAAACATCTTCCTTGGACATTTTAGATTCATATTTTCATATCATGTCTGTAAGGCAAGGAGAAAAGGCATAGTTCCTTTAATCACTAATCAAGGAGCATCTATATCTACCATCTTGCTTTTGTATATCATGCAGAACTTTGGGATCAATGAGACTACTCAGCTCTGAGCATTTAAAATTGGTAACTCTTGAACACATTTTGTAGCTCTTTCTGCAAATGCTCTTAAAGCTTAGGCTTGTCTAGATGAGTCTCCTTTTACTCAAGAGAAACACTTAAAGTTTTATCATTTTCTAAGAAGAAAACACATCACAAAAAGTATTTTCATATGTTTCAACCAACAACACTGAGTTCTGACCCTAGGCACTTACATAATCAAATTAAATAGATCCTTAAAATCCAAGGTGTAAACCAACACTTAGTATTAAATGTTTTTCACGGACACCTGACTTCAGGCTTTTAAAAACTTCCTTTTCTATATTCCTAGAGAAGTTTATCTCTGGCAATTATAATAATTTATCTTTATGCAAACAAATCATCAGTTTATGTTTTAATATTATATATAACACATTCAAGTGAAGAACCATAATGTAACTTCAGTAGAACTATAAATGAAAACATTTCAATCTTACTGTATACTCATATTGTTTAGTAAGTTTTCAATATACACATGCTGTAAATCAACCTTAGATTGTGATATCAAGAAAAATCTATTTCTCCTCAAAAAAATATTGTACCTGTATAAAGACTTTTCATCTGAATTTTATATCCATGAAGAGTTATCTGGGATTTTACTAGAATGATCTCCTCCAATTTGATTTGATATTGCATTTTTTTAAATTCTATTATGTGTACCTTTGCACTTGTTGTTTCAAATTCTTTCTAGAAGTAAAGAGTGAAAAAAAAGAATTTGAAAAATAAATGGAAATGATTTTTACAGGCTAAACTTTATATGGTGTTCTTTGGAACCAACAACTTTTTGAACCTTTTTTAGTGTTCAAAAGTTATCTTTGTGGTGATTTTTCATTAGAAGTAACACTAAAAAGTCACAAGTAATATCCAACTATGCAAATGGTTCTTCATCAGCCCTAACATTGAGGACTCGTCTATTAATCTGGGATCTGAGACACTAAAGCGTTATGCTGCCAGAGCCCAAGACTAATGAAAATCACATTGGGATCTTAACATCATTTAGTACATGCCGTTTCTTTTCTTTATGTGTTTTCAAAAGTTTTATTTTTACAAGTATCTGTTAGTGGTGGAATTCTGAGAGTGTATTTGGCAGACATATTCCTTTCACACTGAAATGTAGAAAGCAGTAGAATGGAATAAGAAAGACTAGAAAAAGACCTTAATTTTGTTTTGGGGCCTCCTGGGAGTGGTTAGTGGCCTGTTGTGGTGTCTGAATTCTAATTTCAAGGTTAAAGATTTATTATTTATATAAGAATAGAATAAGCCATGTTGTACATTTATCATAAATATCCATTATATATTTAAAATCATAAACGTTTCAGAGTGGAATCATTTTTGTCTATTCATTCACTAGCTCAATATAAAAGCTAAGCTGAAATTGCTAACATGAAAAGACAACACCATATTTCAGATTTTTATACATGAATAAGGAGGAACATCGGACTGACTGCCATAGTGCTTTGGGGATAATTTTTAAAAACCTGAACAAATAATATAAAACGTAAAATTCACTTCAAAATGTAAAGAAATCATGATACATTTTTGGATTTTTGTTTTGTATTTATGTTTTTATGATTCTCTTTGATTTAAGCCTCTGTCTAACACCTTTCTCTCATCAGAAGTACATGCTTTAAACAGAGAAAAAAATGGTACAAAGTCATCCAAGTGAAAAGAAAGTACATAGAAAAATAATTAATAATGTGCTGATGAAGTGATATAATACATAAATATCCCCTCTTTTTATGCAACAAGTTTTCTCATAGGAAGCTCTGCCAATCAAATCTGAAATAAATGTAATTCTCTCTTTATAAAAAATTTTTTTACCAGTGTTTGGCTGTAA